TAGAAGAAGAAGAAGAAGAAGAAGAAGAAGAAGAAGAAGAAGAAGAAGAAGAAGAAGAAGAAGAAGAAGAAGAAGAAGAAGAAGAAGAAGAAGAAGAATCTTAGCTGCATCTGGTCTAAACAAACCTTGAAGTCATCTTAAAGTATTCCTTGAAGTCATCCCAAAGGGTCACAACTACAAAAATTCAGAGGACAGATTCGGATGGACATAAGACACACAGTAAGTTAGTCATTTTATCCATTAATCAAAAATCTCCAATAGGAAAGAAGGCTTTATTTTCCTCCATGATATTAAGATAAGCAGTTTTATATCAAAACAACCTGAGAGATTAAGAAATGTAATATTTGCTTTTGTTACTAAGTTAAACTTGGGACACAAAACAGACTTCAAATCTGTGTAGGCCAAAGTTTCCAGAGAGTTCAGGTCAATGGCATCTAACACCAGGGGTTCTTCCTTGGCAACACCAGAAAAGAGCTATATCTAAACAATAAAAGCAAGATTCTGTTGTAACTGGCAAAAACCCATTGAGAAAAAACGTGAACAAAGTAACAATGCTTGCCCTGCATGGACACTCTGAAACGGGAGAGCCTTTGGTTTTGATTCACATTTCCAGCTTAACCCACCCCTGAAACTTACCAACACACCGCGTCCTCCCGTTGCCCCAGAACCCGTAGTTGCAAATGCAGATCCTCTTCCCGTCTTTTTGCTGGCACGTGGCATGTTCGTGGCAAGTGGCACAGACATCCAAATCTAAGTCAGAAATCACATGTGTCCAAAACGGGAAGTTAAAGGTGAGAAATGTTTAGTCAATGGACATGTATCACAGAGAACCAAGACGTGAATGCCAAAATAAAGCAGGTCAAGTTCCCATCTCATCCTTAAGACCTTCAACAGTGACTCACTGTCCACAATATACAATGCACATTCTTCTGCCAATCAAATCAGCAGTCTCCACCATCTGTCTTCTCATCAACTCCTCCAGCTTCATGTTCCCAAACTCCAACTGCATGGTACCTTCCAGGCAGAAGGGACAACTACTATCTACGACCTACTCTCTACGACCTACTATCTACAACCTACTACCTACTACCTACTATCTACAACCTACTACCTACTATCTACTAGCTACTCTCATCCTTGTCATCATGGTCATGATGCTCCCTTCACCTGGAAAGCCTATGCCCTCTTCTCTACTTGTCTGAAACTCACTCTTATTTTCAGGAGCCAGGCAGAACGCCTCATTCTCCCTGAAGTCTTCTCCACTCCTAAGGAAAGGTGTACACATCTTCTAATCTCCCATAAAACATGTATACTTCCATAACAATCATGTTAATCTCTGAATATGTTTAATCCTCTCTTGGCACTATGAGTGAACCATATGATTTTTACAGCACAATATAGACACTCAACATATTTTTATTGGCTGGATAAAGAGATCTAAAATGGGGACTGGAGAGATAGCTCAGAGGCTGCTTTTCCATAGGACCCGGGTTCAATTCCTACCACTCATGGTGGTTCACGACCACCAGTAACTCCAGTCTCAGGGGATCAAACACCCTCTTCCAATCTTCTGGCCTCAGCAAGCACTGTATACACATGGCATACAGACATACAAGCAAGCGAAGCACCCATACTCATAAAATGAATCTAAAATGTGACTTGCTACAGCTCTAAAGGCAAAGGCAAGGGAGAGGAATGCATGTGCCAATACTCTCTCTCTTTCCCTTTAGGGAAAGAGTGAGTGTGTTTAAGATCCCAAGTCCCAACAGGATGGCCAGACCCCAGTTACTTAGATAAACAACAGAAATATTTGAAGCTAAAACTCTTAAGACATCTCAGTTTACCAAATGGTGATATATGACCTGAGATCAAACAAGAATTTCTACTCGAGGCTGTGTGGAATATTGAGTTTCCTGCCTGTGTCTCTGTAATTTCAGGAGTGGCCTTGTAAGGAGAATGTTCCAGCATAGAATTTCATCCTAGTCTTGGCTTTGTACTTACCCAGATAACACAGCCTAGCCCTCAGGCTGCTCCAGGCACGAGACCAACAGAAACTGGGAGATTCCTAAATACTCTTAATCATGTCTCTTCCTTTTGTTTTTTATTTTACTAACAAAAGACAACACATGAGAGGCCAGCCCGGGCTAAATGAGAGTCCATCAAACAAATGCCAAACAATAAACACAAATAAAATGAAAGATAACATAGAAACAAAGCAAAGCACTAATGCTTACCGATACCAAATTAACCATGGAATATCTATAAATATCCCATGACCATAAAATGCAGAAAAATAATAAATATTATCTGACCACCATGGAATAATGGAATAAAACTTCAAAGCAACACCTATGTCTAAAGGTTGGAGAGATGGCTCAGCAGTTAAGAGCACTGGCTGCTCTTCCAGAGGACCTGGGTTCAACTCCTAGTACCACAAGTCTGTTCACAACTGTCTGTGACTCCTGTGTTCCAGGGGATCCAACACCCTCATGCAGACATCTATGCAGGCAAAACACCAGTGTGCATAAAGTACAAATAAATAAACCATACTGAATTGTTGAAGAAAAACAAAACAAAACAAAACACTGTCTGAGGTAGTACTCAATGTACATAGAGGAATTTTTTTAATTATGAGTTTTTTTAAAAAAAAACCTATGTCTAGTTTCCTCCAAAGAAACCCACTTATGCAACATTCTCCTAAAGCATTCACCAGACAAAGGTAATGTCCAAGCTGAAATGCATAATGATAGATATAAAAACTTACTGCAAAAATTTGAGTTTGTTATGCTTTCATATTTTTAAAAAGTAATTAAAAAAAAAAACAAGCAACCACAGAAGAGACATAGAATTTTAATGAAAGAAGTTTGAGGGGGGAAAAATATGGGTTTAAGCATTATAAAAGAATATTTTTAAAAACAAAAGAAAGATTTCTTGGTAAACACTGAAGATTTCAAGTACTCCCAATCCCCTTACACCTTAAAAAAAAAAAAAGAAAGAAAGAAAGAAAGAAAGAAAGAAAGAAAGAAAGAAAAAGAAAAAGAGAAAGAAAGAAAAAGAAAAACAACAACCAAAAAAACATGAAATGAAAGATTAGAAAGGTGTAAATCTTTCTGGATGTGTGTGGAGCGGTGCATGTATATTATATGTATGTAGAATGTATGTAGATGTGCGTGTATATGTGTGCACCTATACATGAAGGACAACCGCAGTACTATTTATTCCTCAGGCGTTGTCTACATGTTTCGTTTTGAGTTTTGGCACAGGATCGCTCACTCCCTCACCAATAGGCTAGGCAGGCTAGCCGGTGAGCACCAGAGCATCTCTACCTCCCCAGCCCCTAAGAGTATAAATCTTAAAATAAGGGACGAGAGCAGACAAAGGATGCTAGCAGTTATTTCAGATGGGAAAGATCAATTCATAGAAACTGCTTTGACGAGAGGAAGAAACAAAAGTCCCTGGGTGCCTAGAAAGACAAGGTGTAAGCCATATAAGCCCTGGAGTAATGCTGCTTACTGGCTTGCTCGGTCTATTTTCTCCCATCATTCAGAATCACAGCCCACAGTGGGTGGAGTCCTACCACATCAGTCCAGAAAATGCCCCGTGGACTAACTAGCCCACAGGCCAATCTGATGAAGGCATCTTCTCAGTTAAGATCCCCTCTTCCCAGACATGTCTAGGTTTGTGTCAAGTTGACAAAAAACCAACCAGCACAGCAACTCCTTAAACACACTGGAGACGAACCTGCCTGTAAGATGCCGTTCACAGTCAAGAGAGAAAAAGAGTCTGCTGGAGCCCTTGAACTTAACATCTGTCCTCACCTAACTCCAGCTGTCCCAGTCCGACAAACCCAGCAAACTCACTGTTCAACCTCCTTGAGACTGCCTTCCCCAAACTTGTGGAGACATGTGGGAATACGTTAAATCACCAAGTGGGGGACCAATAGAGTCCAAAAATCAGAAAAAAAAAAATGTCTAGAATTCTATGCCAAACTGCACTGTTCCTAAGAAACTACATCAAATTCCAGAGATAGAATCCAGGAGCCAGAGAAATACCATATTCTCTCCTCTCCGGCATCCTTGACAGAAAAAACACAGCCTCTCCTTCAGTCAAGTGCACTACCACAGATCTACACCCAAGCCTTGGTCTCTCCTTTAAATGTATCCAAGACAGAAGGCGCTTTCTCCTAAGCCAAGTAATCATTACAAGTAACCCGAACCCTTGTACCCCCTCATCCCACTAGCCCCAGAACTAACTCTGACCATTCTGAACCCTTAACCTTTCCTTGTGTGAAATGTTTCCAGGAGCCTTGGCTTCCTTTGTCCATTTCTCATTCACTTTCTTATCTGACCAAAATCAATCCACAGTGGACCCCACACTTCACCTCCAGACCAAAACCAAATCCATAATAAAAATACCCAGTGCCCCAGTCTCAACTCTGAGTCTGGAGTTAAGTAGCCATTAATTTGGGGCCCACCCCGAAATTCACGTCCAGCCGTCGCCTACTTCAGCCATTCTACTCCTCTCTCACGCCGCCCCACACCCGACCGACACCTTCTCCAGAAGGCTGTGAGTCTTTGCACTTTTTTATTTTTGGTGGGGTTGGGGTTGGAACCTAGGGCGCCTCAAGCACTCAACCACACTGAGCTACACCTCCAGCCCTGCGCACTGTTTTGTGAATCCAACAGACAGCTGTTAGTTACAGCTGCACACATCAGAGAGCTGCTCTTAGATTTGACCAGAAGAACATGGATGTGCACAGCGTCAAGTCCCTGGGGGGGGAGGGGGGAGGCAGCCCCTGTGGAAGTCCTTCATTAAGTCTCGCCTCACTCCTCAGCGGAAGCCACTTTCCGTCGCCCTGACACCATCCACTCTCTCCATCTCTCTTGCCTCGCCATGCCCACTATGGTGCCATCTCTCATGAAGACAGAGTGCGGACCACGTCTATGAAACACGCAGCAGGTGCACCTCACTTCACAGAGTGGGATCTCCCCAGTACTGCCCGCCATTCCTCCACCACGACCCCGGTTCTGTCTCTCCCTGGCCTTCCTGAACCAGCCAGGCCTGAGCCAACAGGTTCCCCAACCACTCCCAGACTGGGGCAAAGCCACAGAGAGGCTGAGAACAGGACTGACCAGCTCCACCCTTCCTCACCCAGTGACAACCTCTGCAGTCCCCTGGGGCCAGGCACCCCACCCACTCAGTGTGCTCCCCCACCTCCCTCAAACACAGGCTTCAGCTCACTTCCCCTAAGCATCTTCCATTAATTAAATGTACCTCGGCACAGGCTGCTAGGGAGGGAATCTACAAGGGCAACTGAGATGCTAGCTAGCAATGGCTGCCCACGGCTTGTTATCGAGCACTCAGAGACAGCAGGAGAATCGGGAGTCTGAAGCCAACTGTGGCTACACTGGACGATCCTGTCTCAAGGAAAAAATACACACACACACACACACACACACACCACACATGTACACACACACACATGTACACACACATGTACACACACACATACATACACACACATGTATACACACACACATACACACATACACACACACATATACACACACACCACACACATGTACACACACACACATGTACACACACATACACACACATACACACACATGTATACACACACACATACACACATACACACACATATACACACACACCACACACATGTATACACACACACATGTACACACACATATAAACACACACCACACACAAAAACAAAACACAAACAACAACACACAACAAAAAACAACACATGCACTTACAAATAACACACCCGTAACACATACACACAAAGAAACGCATAAACACATATATATACACATACAGACACAAGCACACACACACGCACAACCAGACCAACCAGAGAAAGGCAAATAAGCCCCCTAAGCAGTCACACCAGACACCTGTAAGTGACTGCTAGCAAACAGCCCCAGCTTCCCAGGCGGGCCATCCCTAAGGCCCTCCCTTACATGTCCCATCCAGTCTCTCCCATCCTGACTGCCTGCTTTGGAGTCACCCCACCCCAAATTTGGGAGGCAGTGGCTGCCCCCCTTGCTACAGCCAGCTCGCATTAACAGTCTTCATTTGCTTGTGACCATTGGGGGGGGGGCCCTGTTTACTCCCACATCATTCGGAATTTGAACCACAACCCCTTTTCACAAGGGACTCTTGGTCTAAGAACAGAGTCTGACTCAACAGTGGGCAACAGATGTGTGGCCATGGCGTCAAAGAGAAGCGGACAGTGCCCGATGGCCTTCCAGCATGTGAGAGGAGTAGCCAGCCTGGTTCTGAAATATAAACAGCGCTCACTCATGAGGTAGATGACTGGAGGAGGAGGAAATGGCACGTTGCCAGTCTTCTTTCCTCCCCTCCCCTCCCTTCCCCTCCCCTCCCCTCCCCTCCCCACCCCTTCCTGACTTCTCCCATTTACAGCTCAGCTTTACAAGAGCTCTATTAAATATCTTGTCCATTCTTGTATTTCTATCTTTTCCCTACTGAGTAATGGCTGTCGCTCTAATATATGAGCAGATGGACTTGCTCTTCCCCAAATCCTGCACTGACCTGGCCAGCCTAGCTGAAGGGTAACCTCCTTTTCCTTCTAACTTCTCCAAGCACCCCTGTGTTGTCAGCCAGAGTCACAGAGTCCAAAGGCCTTTTCTCAGCATACTGTGGGCGCCAACGTCTGGCTTCCTCAGCGCCATGCTAGCCCAGGCGTCCCACGCATTTGGGGCTGCATCTTTCTCCCTTCCTTGCATCTACCTAGCTCCGCCCCAAGGACCCATCCTTGAGCTGGACACATGGCACTTCAGAGGCTGAGGCAGGAGGGTCGTTTCACCCCGACATTTTCCACCTCCAGGAAAGGAGATTTTTGTAGAACTGGATTCTCTGTTCCTCAGTGAAAGAAAAGTTTCTACCTAAGGAGAGGCGCTCAATGAGGCAGCCCCGTGTTCATGTCCCCAAATCATCTCACACCTTCCAAACGGGCTAGAGATGTGGCTCATGCTTAGCATGCAAAAGCCTGAGTTCAATCCACAGCACCAAAGATGTCTAAAAGAGAAGAAATTGTAGAGGATTTGGCATTGACTGTTAGTCATGTTCAGCCATCTTAGCCCAACAAATCAGTGGACCACACTTAATACTTTCCTAGGCTGGAGTCTTCACACAGATCCTAAAACAGGTTTCAAGTCTCCATAGGTTTTTATTCACACTCTCATGGGAGACCCTGCTGGCTACTTTTGTGTCAACTTGACACAAACAAGAGTCATTTGGGAAAAGGGAATCTCAAGGCTCCTGCTAGACTGGACCATGGGCTAGCCTGTGCTGCATTTTCTTGATTGATGATTGATGTTGAAGGGCCCAGCTCACTGTGGATGGTGCTACCTCTGGGCTGCTGGTCCTGGGTGTTACAAGAAAGCAGGCTAAGCAAGCCACAGAGAGCAAGCAGTAAGCAGCATTCCTCAATGGCTTCTGCTTCACTTCCTGACTCCAGGTTCCCTCCTTGAGTTCCTACCTTGACTTTTCTCAGTGATGGAGTATGACCTGAGAGTTGTAAGCTGAAATAAACCCTTTCCTTCCCAGGTTGTTTATGGACAATGTTCTGTTTTTTATCACAGCAATAGAAACCCCAACTAAGACAGAGAGACCAAGTCAGGGGAGGAAGAAAGCCTACTGGAGTACCAGATGTCGTGGGTGGGAGAAAGCCATTCTAGAAAACTGAGCCATCAAATACCCAAAGTGATAGAGAAAGTCACCAGGCAGCCTTTAATCGCAGCACTCAGGAGGCAGAGGTAGGCAGATCTGAATTCCAGGCCAGCCTGGTCTACAGAGCGAGTTCCAGGACAGCCAGAACTACACAGAGAAGCCCTGTCTAGAAAAGCCAAACAAAACAAACAGTGCCAGGCAAGGAGAATTTGGGGGGACAGGAATCTGTCCCCCCAAAGTCCACCCTTAGCTCACTTCCCTTCCACTTCTACATCATGTTTGGGTTTTGTGCATGTTTGTTTTTGAGACATCTCACTCTATGGTCCAGGATGATCTCTAACTCATAGCAATCCTCCCTCCTCAGCGTCCGAAATTCTAGGATTATAGGCATGAACTGTTTGGCTTTATTAAAGGAAATGGCAGTGAGAGACTGGGTATCCTTATACACACTGTTCGGCATGCTCTCCTACAGTGGCTTCTGCTGACCTCCCACCATGAAGGAACAGTTAAACCCAAGCACTACGGTCTGCCAGTTGGCGTAAGACTATGAGTCCCTCTTGTGAAACCCAGTCTGCTTTTTAAATCTCTGGTCCCTTCTATGTTGTGCATCGCACATTGTCGGCAGTCTGGAATTCATCCATTGCGTTGTTTTTTGTTTATCTGTTTGTTGACTGGGTCTCACTTTGTAGACCAGTCTGGTCTGGAACTCACTCTGTAGCTCAGGCTGCCCTCGAACTCAAGATAATCTTCCTGCCTGTCTCCCAAGTTGGATTCACTCATTGTACACACATCTGTAAAGAGTGGTCAGTGCCCTCCTCTATGGGATGGAATGCCTTTCCGCGTCCTCTTCCTAAATCCAAGGATCAGTCCCTAAAGCGCAGTTTCGCTTATCTCACGCATAATGGCTCCCTAGGAAGACATAGTTGTTCCCTCTTCCGGCCAGTACACCTCCTCAGAGCGCTAACATCCTTCTGCTTTCTATTTGGTGTGTGAGTAGATGTCAACTCACTTTTCTGTCTGAACCTCCATGTCAGGTAAATCCCACCATGTTCCGGCTTGCTTGTTTGTTGTTTTTCAGTTTGTCTAAGACACGGACTATTTGCTTGTCTGTTTCCTTGCATCTATGCACCGCTAGAGCGCCAACACTGCATGTTTACATCTGACACAGGGAAGAAGATATTAATGGGCTTTCTACGGATGGATGGATGGATGGATGGATGGATGGATGGATGGATGGATGGATGGATACACAGATGCATGGATAAATAGATTAATGAATGGATGGATGAATGAACTAAAGAATGAATTCTATTCCTATAAACTTTCTTATACTTCCTTCTTAGCATTCTTAACATTAATTTCTTCGGGGAAGTGAAAAATATGAAAAGGGGAGGGGGGAACGGCCACAGGTCAAGAATTTGTCCTGCAAAAGCCACCGCGACGGGAAGCTAGGGGGACCTGTGGCTTGCCCTCCCACGCGCCCCCACCTGGGCGCTGCTCCCCGGACCCGCACCCCTGCCCAGTCCCCACCTCCCTACCCATCCCGGGAGGCGCGAGCTGGAGCAGGGCCGCCTCCACCCACGCCCCAGTGTCCCCAGGGCGGGCAGCCCTGACTGCTCCTGGCTGCTCCGCCTCCGCGATTCCTCCACGCCCCGACTCTGTGCCACGGGACCCTAAGCGAGAAGCGTCCGCTTCGCCCGGAGCCTCGCACTCACCGTCCGTGCCCGGTTCTCCGCTGACGCCGCAGGCCAGGCCGAGCAGCAGCACCAGCCGCAGCAGGGGCAGCACCCGGCGGCCTGGCGAGCGGCGCGTGCCCCGGGGCCCCCGGCCCATGCCGCCCGCTCCCTCCCGGCGCCCGCCACTCCCCGGAGGGCCCTGTGCGCAGAGATAAGGCCAGCGGCGCGGGGAAGGGGCGGTGCAGTGGCTTCCGGCGCAGGGCAGCGGAGCGCGGGGTCCCGGCGGGGGAGAGGGGGAGCGGGTCCGGGGTCCCGGGACCTAGGTGCACCTGGTGCACCGGCTGCGCGCGGGACACGCCACGGGGAGAAAATGGACTGTGCTGGGGAGGAAACGTCCCGGTGCAAGTGTGACTTGTAGGGTCTCTGGGAAGACCCGAGAGAGGCGAGGGCCACACGAAAGGGTCTCTTCCTGGACGGGATGGAGAGCTGGGATGTGGTGGCCGCCGCACCAGGGAGGGAGAGGAGAGGGCGACAAGTCATGGGCCAGTCCACCCGGGGTGAAAATACTGGATCAGGTGACAAAAGTTCCAGCCGCTGGACAGACACCCAGCTCGGCACGTTAGGAATCGAAAAGGGAGAAACACGTGGTGAGAAAGACGAAGATGAAGGAACACGGTGTGTTCTAGAAACTGCGTGAGGGAGTGCTTTCGAGTGGGGACAAACGGTTGGAGAAATAAATTTTACCGCCGAGGTAAAGGTCTCTGCTGTGAGAATAAGATCAGCAGCAGGGCGGGAGGGAACCCAGCCCTGAGCTGCTGCGGGAGTCCAGGAAATACAACCCTTTAGGGGTGGGGCACGTGATCTCTGAACTTCGGAGAGAGGCAGAAATGGAGTGTCCAGGAACGGAGTCCACCATCTGGTGACACTAGTATACTATTAGAAAGAGCAGTAAGGAGGAACTGCCACGTGTCACTTAGGTCGATGGTTTGGGCGAGCACTGGTTTGGGTGTTAACATAGAGTTAACACTGGGAGTGCGAACTGGGGTTGATGGGGGCTGCGGAGGAGGAAGTTAGATCTGGGGTGAAGGCTTTCAGTTTTGCCTGTGGGGCTGTCCAGGTGAGGGGCACTCACCGCTTCAGCACGCCCCTCCTTTGCTCTCAGTGGACTCTCCCTACCTCTAACTACGGGCAAACACACCCATAGAAGGGCTGGGCTGCTGCTGCCTTAGGAAGAAGCCGTTAAAAATAAACTTTCTAGTCTCTTGTAACATGCTTTCTCAAAGATCATTTCTGTCCAACAAAGAGAGAAGCCTGCTTTGGAAAGTAGATGGACAGTATGTTAAAATGTCTCTGGTGTTTAGGCAACTTTTTGGTAAATCCAGCTCTCCGTGAACTTTGACATGCCATTGTTTCAACAAATCCACCATTCAAGGCGTTATAAAATATACTTTATCTCCACTCCCATGCCCTTCTGCAAAAGAAATACATATGTATACTTTTAAAAAGAAATGGTGATGCCAAAAAACTGTCCAAAACTTGGAAATGACAAGAGAAATTACTAGGTGTCTTTGTATGGGGCATTGGGTTGGGGGTGCTGTCTAATCCACTTTGAGGGAATCCAACTCAGAAGTGTACTTTCATGAATGTCCTATTGACTAGGCTTATTTGCAGCTTTATAAGAGTAGACGTTAACTTGAAGAACCCTGATGACAGTATTACCAACCAGAGCTGACTGGGGTCCTTCACCTGGATAGAAAGAAATCTTTAGAGATCCCACATGGTGGTTCACACCCAGCACTCAGGAGGCTGAGACAAGAGGAATTGTGTTCCAAGCACCTTGGTCTACATAGCAAGTTCCAGGACAGCCAGAACTACATAAACTCAGAGATCCTGTCTCAAAAAACAAACAAAAATATTGTGAGTACAAGCAGAGCCTCCAAGGGCATGAATCCATAGAGCTGCGGGGGCGGGGGCAGGGGCGGGGGCACAGGACTGGGCTGAGAGGCTCACAGCTCCAGACTGATAACTAGGGGCCCATTGCTTCATGCTTTAGAAGCCAGAGGCATGACTAGGCATTCAGGCTGGAGGCTTATTGCTCTGGACTTTAACCACCAGCCAACCCCAGCATTTTGCAACTGTTGTAATCCAGTCCTCCCAGCAGCGGTATGAGGCAACAGCCGGCAGTTCCTGTGAGGGAGGCTCTAGCTCCTGAGTGGGCTCTGGGTTTTAGACCAGCGGCTCCTGTAGTGGCCATTACAGCCCTGGGACCCAGTGGCTATTGGAACTGACAACTCCCTGGAACTCTTCCAGTGCCTTAGCCACCCAGGGCTTCGTCTTAAGCTCCTCACAGCCCACTTTCTCTCCTCCCTGCGGGGTCATGCTCGAGACGTTTTTAGCCAGTTTATTCCTGCTGCTGCTGTCTCCCTGGACTTGCTGCCTTCCACCGACCGACCGCTTCAGACCACCATCTCCTCTGTGTGTTCCCAGCTCAGCCCACCCCACCAGTTCTAAAGATCAAAAGCAACCAGGGCCTGAGGAGATAGAGCGCTTGTCTAGCATGCATGAAGCCCGGGGCATAAAACTGAGTATAGTTGTGCAAGCTTGTGATCCCAGCTCTCCAAGAGACGGAGGCAGGAGGATCAGGAGTTCAAACTGTACAACAAGTTTAAGGTCAGCCTGGGGTACCTGAGACGGTGTCTCAGGGTTTTAAAAGAGGAGTCGGGTGGGGTTAGGAAGATGGCTCAGTGAATAAGAACACTTGTTATGCAAATGTGAGTTAGAATCCACAGAGTGAGTCAAAGAGACGGGCATGGCTACACATGTTTCTAATCCCAGCACCGAGAGGCAGAAGCGGATTCCAGGAGCTCACTGGCTAAACAGCCTAACCCAAACAGTAGGCTTCATGCTCACCAACACAACCTGTCTCAAAGCTGCTGTGCAGAAGGTGTCTGAAGGCTTCCTCTGGCCTCTGCACGTGCATTCCACCGCTTGTCCCCACACACACATGCGCCATGTCTACACACCATACCACACACACACACACACACACACCGGAGTAGTCAGGAAAATGCTGGTGAAGAAGCTTTGTAGGCTGAGTACAGTGTCACACACCTTTGATCCCAGCACTGGGGAGACAGGACGGCTTCTGTGAGGTTGTGGCCTGCCTACTCAATACATAGGAAGTACCAGGTCATAGCCAGAGCTACAGAGTGAGACCCCCCTCCCCCTGCAGAAGAGAGAGAGAGAGAGAGAGAGAGAGAGAGAGAGAGAGAGAGAGAAAGGGAGGGAGGGAGGGAGGGAGGGAGGGAGGGAGGGAGGGAGGGAGGAAGGAAGGAAGGAAGGAAGGAAGGAAGGAAGGAAGGAAGGAAGGAAGGAAGGAAGAACATAGCTTTGAATGCCTCTGGCTGGGCTGATCTAAGGGTGAGCTAACAGACTGTATGCACAACCAGAAAGGGCCTGTGTGTGGCAAGGCTGTTTTCCCCAATCATGGCAGTCTTTCAGGCAAACAGTGGACCATGCTTGCACCAATCCAGGTGCAGTTCTTCATGCAAACAAAGTTTATGCCCATCCCAGGCTCTCTACTGGGCCATCAGGACAACTGCCCCTCCTCTGACCTAGATGAAATTGGCCACTGGGGTTTTCCAGGCTCCTGAGAGCAAAAAGGTCCATTGAAGCTATGAAGCATCACACCTGGGACAGAGCCTTCTGGAGCCCGGGACTGCACCACAGCCCCAGAGGTTATTTCCTCAGTATCGTTTCAGGAGTCAAAACAGAATAGTGAACCAGTTTTAGATCTGGAGCAGTGAAATGGTTGCCGCAAAAATATTTGGCTTAAGGAAAATGTTCCTGGAAGAGGGTGCAGTGGGCACACCCACACTTCCTAAAAGGGAATTTGGAAGGACCCTTGATTAAACGACTTGATGAGTTTGACTTTAAGGACTTCATGAATTTGAACTCTGATTCCAAGATGGGCTCCTCAGCCCTAAAAATGCTCTAGCCCTTCCTCCCAAGTCCCAGTGAAATGACCAAAAACACATTGTGGCAGACACAGTACTGGGTTTTGTCCCCCATTCCCACAACAGGGCTCCCGTTTCCTGAAGGTAGGAATACCCTTTATTATCCATAAAGACGGTTACAACAACTGACTTCACACTGATGAATTACTAAGACCCTCTAGAAATCCCAAAGGTGAGGCCCCAAAAGACAGAGTGATGATGGGGTGAGAAGTCCTGAGTCCTTCTCACTAACCTGGGGGGGGGGGGGTGTGAAGAAGAGGAAGCTATGCAAACACTCCCAGAAAATGATGAATTTGAGGCTGGGCTGCTAAGCTGGGAGAGGGGCTGGGAGGAAGATGCGGCCCCGCCCATCCCTCCCTTGCCTTGGGCAGTTCATCTGGTTGTTTGTTACATTCTTCATGCTACCCTCACAACAAACAGAAGTAAAATGTTCTGTGAACCAGCCGAGCAAATGGCTGAACCCCAGAATGAAAACCTGACACTCTGACTCACAGTCAGAAGCAGAGGTCTCAACCTGGGATCTGCAGTCCTCCTCTAAAGTGGGGGTGCAGTGGGGTAGTCTGTCAGGTTGAACTGAATCCTATGACACCCATCTTTTGTCCGCTGAAGAGTTCCTTGGTGTTTGAGGTATTGAGCCAGCCAGTCCCGCTGAGGAGACTTCAGCTAACTCACTATGTAAACAAATGAAACGCTTGAGGAGTTTGCCTCAAGTAATTGGGTCTCTGCCGGTCACAACAGCCGAGCATCAGTCGGTTGTGTGTGGCCAACTCTTCAAGTCATGTCCACGTCAGGCAAACGCCAAGCTCCTACTGATCATCCAGCTGTCTCTGTACCCCATTTCCTCTTTCTGTACCCCACTTTCTTTTTCTACACTTCACATCCATTTTCTGTTCCTCGCTTTCCTTTTCCTGTTTATAAACGTTACCAAACCGTTTTAAGTGTCCCCGAACCTCCTCTGGTTCTGAGGGCTGCCCAATTCATGGCTCTTTGTTCAATTTAACTGTTCAATTCGATTTGCTTTTTCTTTTGACTGTGGATGTGGAAAAACTCCCACACATCTGGTCACAGCGGTGTTCTGTGTTGAATTAGAGAGCACAAAAGGAAATAGCAGTTTGGGGGCCTTTCTTTCCTCTCAGATGCTCACAATTAAATAGGCAACAGTGCTTTGAAACAGGAAAACATGCCATCAACGAAGCAGCTAGCTCGGAGGAGTACATTAGGCCAGCTTTGTTACGTGTGTCCTCCACAAAGGCAGCTACTGGGATGAGAAAAATAAAATAATGAACCTTATAAAAATAAAAACTACATGCACACTTCAAGTTTTTATGTGTATACATGAATGCAATGTGCAAACTTCATAATGTATTTGCTTTTATTTATTTATTTATTTTCAAGACGGGGTTTCTCTGTGTAACCCT